AGGGTTGTATCCAAAGAGTGGTCCTTTAATACAGAGGTTATCCCACCACTTCCTTATTTCCTCCAGTTTTCCCCCAGCAGCAGAGTCATCAGCATACCAGATCTCACCTTTCTCTCAATGTTTCCTGCATCAATTAATGGTATTGTACCACAGGCATAAAATCCCATGGCAGGTGGATCAGCTTGTGTGGTCCCTTCTTCACTAAAAAGATGCTCATCTCCTCCTGCAATGAACAGTCTAGCAGGCATTCTGTAGGTGTTCATAATGTAAGTAGCAACTTCTGGACAAACGATGTTCATGTTGTTGAGAGCAGCCTCTCGGTTCAGCAAGTTGAATGCATTCTCTGCATCCACTAAGATGATAGCTTCAGTTTCAGGGTCTTCAAAGCAGTCCCTTGCAGCATGGACTGCTGCTTCCACTCCTCCCTGAAGACCAGCACAAACTTGAATAGGAGCAGTGGCTCCAACCAGATCTTTCTGTAGGAGGGTCATTACTGTTTTCCCTATTATCCTTCTTAAGACTTCACCTATACCTACTGGCCTGACTCCAGGCTTTTTATCCAGGGGGACAAGTCGACATGCTGTCAATGAGGTCAACAGCGTTGGATCCAAATTCCGGACACATAGTTTCCTTGCTATCCCTGCTATGGCATTACATAGATCCTCACACTTCTTACCAAACTGTTTAGAACACAGTAGTCTCTTCCATGCATCCGCATCCATCCCTGAAGGCCCTGCAGCACCCTGTACTCTCTTTGCTGCTTGTCTTATCGATTCCCCGTCAATATTGTCGATATATTTAAAATAAATATATTTAAAGTAAATATAAAAATTTACATAAACAAATCTAGAAGATCAGACCTCAAAGCTCGTCTTCTGGGGGATGAGGTTGAAGGAAATGTCTTGCAGTTCAAGATGCTGGGCCGTTGATCTTCCTCTGATTCCTCTTAGTGCAATGAGTGTACTTCTTAACAGATCAAATCTGAATCGTGTTCTGAGGTCTCCTAGATTTGTTTATGTAAATTTTGTAGAGATTTTACTGTCCTATTCTATAAGGTATACAATTTTACGGACGAAATGATCCCAAGGGGAATTACTGGGCCGCGCTCAGCCTGTCATTCCGCCAAATCTTTATTCGTTAATGAACATAATAGCCTGGGGTCCTCAGGTAAAGGGGGAACTCTTACTGGGCGGCGCTCAGCCTGTCATTCCGCCGAATCTTTATGTTTATGAACATAATAGCCTGGGGTCCCCAGGTAACTAACCTAGCTCCATCAGCTTTGTTGGCCCCTGCAGCGAATTATATTATATTGTAAATTTTCAATCCACAAAGAAAATAGCACAGCTTTTGCTTGTTATAGAACTTGAAAGTGATGTAGGGTCTATAGTTTTATCAAAAAGCAGTAAACACATCGCGGCCCGGTCGGGTTTGGGTCGAAGGTAATAATTTAACGGGCACAAAGAAGCATTATCGGGCACAAAGAAGCATTATAAGCAATTGTGTCCTTTACCCTCCAACTTAATTTGAACATTTTTGTGGCTAACTCATTGAACATTTGACTTAATATGCATTTAGTATTAAACAATTCAGTGAGTTATCTTTTCATGTACGCGTACGCTGTACATTGTAGTTAGTGAATGCAAACCAAACTTTTTCGATCAGCCGCGCGCTAAGCCAATGTTGCAAGGTTAAAAATTGTGTACATTTTGTACATTTTTCAATGTAAATCAATTTATTAATTAATCACTCATCACTTGAACACGTATCACAAATTATTATATATTTTATTATAATAAAACCACTTCTGTGAAATAGTTATTTTGACTTTAAATATTTAAACTAAATATGGTATAAAATAAAATTTGTTTTACTAACAATTTGTTTTACTAGATACTCGTAAAATATTTGTTTCAAATTTGACCGTCGACGAGTCTTACTGAGCGGCGCTCAGCCTGTCATTTCGCCGAATCTTTATTCGGGCTTAGTGAATCACGACCTCCATCGCCCTGAAAAAAGTGCGAATGCTCATTGGATTTTAAAGCGCACGTGGCCAATTACAGCCGCGCAAAAGATCACCAATCACGTGCACACCAACTACCAATAAGAAAGAAGTGACGTATGCGCTACAAAAGCCTCGCGCTGAGTTAAATTGTAAAATCTTATTATTTGATTGTAAAATCGTATTTGGAGGACTTCGCCGCTTCGACGCGCCGCGCGAACTAGCATTCTTGCAGAGCAACGATCTCGACGGATTGACATCGTCAATCAAAATCGTATAAACACGCCTATTTGCGCGTTTTAGAGGGTTCAATTACGCCAAGCTATGTTTATGAACAAAATAGCCTGGGGTCCGCAGGTAACGACAAGTCCAACTCGGCGCGCGTCCTGGTAGGTTATATGTTATAAACCTACAAGTAATAATCAAAATTTAACGTCATTTGGTAAAACTTTAAGGAGAGATCTCAGCAGAGACCTAATATCAAATATACGACTTGATGAAGCTAAAAAAGGCTGGTAATAGCGCTGCATGGTATTGCTCTAACCAGAGCCCTTTTACCTGGGGTCCCCAGGCTATTATGTTTTTAAACATAGCCTGGCGTAATTGAACCCTATAAAACGCGCAAATAGGCGCGTTTATGCGATTTGATAATCAAACAATCAGTGCAGATTTTACAATTTAACTCAGCGTGTGGCTCTTACCTGGGGACCTCAGGCCGGCTATCATGTTCATAAACATTCCGCCGAATAGAGATTCGGTTACCTGAGGACCACAGGCTATTATGTTCATTAACATAATAGATTTGGCGAATGACAGGCTGAGCGCGGCCCAGTAAAGATTCGGCGGAATGACAGCTGCTGAGCGCGGCCCAGTAACGCGGCTTTTGTAGCGCATACGTCACTTCTTTTTATTGGCAGTTGGCATGCACGTGATATTTTGCACGGCTGTAATTGGTTCTGAACGATCACGTGAATGCGAGTCACCTATGCTTTAACATCCAATGAGCATTCGCACTTTTTCAGGGCGATGGAGGTCGTAATTCACTCAGCCGGAATAAAGATTCGGTGGAATGACATGCTGATTGCTGAGCGCCGCCCAGTAAGAGCCCTTCCGCTTGCGTTGGCAGGTAGGTGTGTTTTATTTTTTTGACATGGTAATTTAGATTTAATTGACGATGTCAATTCATGGCAGCTCGGCGCGGCACAGTAGCGCATTTCGCCGATCTAGCCATGTCGCTGTGAGAAGCCTTATTGAGTGCGCGGCATGGCACAGTAACGCATCGCGCTACAAATTTAGATTAGATTTGGACTATAATATTTGCGTCGCATACCTATATATACGTTAATATTTTATGAAATTGGTTAATTTATTGACGATGTCAATTCATCGCAACTCGGCGCGGCACAGTTAGTAAGTAGCGCATCTCGTCGTTGCATGAAGCATAATTGAGTGCGTGGCGTGGTACAGTAACGCATCGCGCTACAAGTACAATGAAATTGGGCACATGCACTGACAGTATGGTTTATTGTATTTGTCATACGTTGTATGACCCACCGGTCACGAGTGGCGAGTGCGCGGCTCCCCCTGTATTGTAAAAAAGATAAACTTAGTGAAACGACAATTGCAATGGGGGTCACAACGTGATATAAAATTGTATCACTCGTGACCCACATTGTTGTTTCACCAAGTAGTATCGTGGCCACGATACAGCCCCGCACTCATGCGCGGCATGGAAGGTCTACAACGTAATAACACGACTCCTGTCCGACAGCGACATCTGTCCGACTCAGGGTACCAGAAAAAAAACGACATCTGTCCGAAATTGTGATTTGATTTCAATACGACACATTTCCAATTAGAGACATGATCTGAACTGTTACTTGCTAAGTTGTATACGTAACATTTCCAATTTGAGATATGATCTGAGCCATAGTTTACCATAGCTATAGTTTACCATAGCTTATTTTCATTTGCAATTTGATGTCGATAAATAGGACAATAGTTTAACCCGAGAAATTAGACTAACTTCCTTATACGGTCATATCACGTGATCGAGATAGTTTTTCGCCAGTATCTCGCCATGAATAAGAATGGAGACTACATGACAGAGTGTAGATTGAAAATTCGAGGTTTGGAGGTTGATGTTGAAGGTCGAGGGTCGAGGGCCTTGAGAGTCGACAGTCAAAAGTTCTGAGTGGAGAGTCAAAAGTCCTGGGTGGAGAGTCGAAAGTTGAAAGTCGAGAGTCGAGAGTTGAAAGTCGAGAGTCGAGAGTTGACAGTCGCAAGTCGAGAGTCGAGAGTTGAGAGTTGAGAGTCGAAAGTTGAGAGTTGAGAGTCGAGAGTCCATAACAGTTGCAGAAAAAGAAAGCACAAGGAATTGGGTAATCTGGTGGATTCGTGTAGTGTTATAGAGTCTCGTGATTATTTGTTATATAGTAGTGTTGAAAGTATTTAATACTTTCAACACTACTATATAACAAATAATTTGAGAGTACGAATATGACGTAGAAATGTCGATACGTTATTTAGCTATTTATTTCCATTAGAATCTGTCTTCACTGAGTCTATTCAGAAACAATCAGAAATTTGAATGAAAGAACTAACAAGGAATTGGGTTTATGTAAACAGAATCTATTTATTAATGATATTTTTAATCTCTAGTTACTCCGCAATTTAGCTCTGAGAAGAAACATTGGCAAAAACTACAATGAAGTTTTGACAGTCAGTTTTTTGTTTCAAGGAAACTTGAGGGTCGTTTTTCACTATCCCTTCTTTAGAGCTTTTATTCAATAATCATCATTCATTCACATTTCTATTTATAATTTAGAAATAATTTCACCATTCGTTCTATTCATAAGTTCATGAATAATGCAACTAGAAGTGCAGTAAACATGAAAATTTCTGATACTATTTGACTGATTTTAATGCACGAAATTCATATTCCAATGTGCTTCAAATTACCTTTTAGGTTTTGGTGTAAAACAATCAAAGAACTGCAGAATTAATTAGTTTCGAAATGGTTTTAGATTCATGAAAATATGATCACAATATAAACTAAAACCGTGCAAATTAAGCCCATATTTGGACGTAAAGTAGACCAAAAGTTATTCAGTGATAAAGAAAACTTGTGGTCATCAACCTAAGGATCAATCCATCATCCTTCCGTCCAACAAGGCTCATTTGTTCCAAAAACACAATTGATGCGACCAAATATAAAGGTTCAAAACTTTTAATCTGTGCCTGGACTGAAATATATATATTTTAACTCATTTTGTTTATCAAATCAAGCAAAATTAAAAACTTACGGGGCCAGAAGATAATCTCAAACGATGCGATAATTTGGAAATACTGGTTGAACTTTAAGTTTGATTGATCATCGACTCTTAGTGTCATTTATCGCTCCTTACCGCATAATAATTTGATTTTGTCACAATAACAATTTTACAATATCAATATACTCAAATATAGCACCTCAATCAAGTATAAATACACAATTCTAAAAACAAATAAATGTAAAATGTAAGCTCAAGTTTTCCTTTTTTTGAGCTTATTCCCCAACTATGTATTCTTTTTAAGATTTTAATACATTGGTAATTTTTTAGGTTGATAGTTGAAATGGGATATGAACACTTAAAAAGCTTATTGAATTTCAGCAAAACATTTTGACTGCTTAGTTGGTTGGCTTGACCGAAGAGGGCTCGGTCAAATATTTTTGTTTCCTGGCTCACATAATTCAAATCAATATCGCTTGTCTTTAACACTTAAACAGATGACTGCAACAAGTTATAAAACTAACATAAGTAATAAAGCACTACAGGGCAGGCTAAAGAGCGATGAGATACTTTCCCAAAGTTGGAGATGAAAGTCCCATATGTGCAGTCCAAAAGATATAACAAAAAAATCAGATTAACTCATTCCAATCGTTAAAAACAGATTTCGGTACATTGTCCAGTCTCGTGTTTGTTTCAGTTCGTCTACAGCTAGTTCTCTACTTCTCGAATCTACTCAGCAATTCTCTTAGCTTCCAGGTCTTTATTTTCCTCCTCAACTCCCGTTCAACGAGCCGTGTTGACGGACCCGGTCCCGGAATTAACACTCAACATTCGGTTTATCTGCTTTGTCTTGTCCTCCATTCCTCTCTCGCGGGAGTCCAAGAAGAACTTGTAAACCACCATCTTCTTCTTCTTCATTTCCTGGTCAGCTATGGTCTTGTCTGGGTCTTCCATCTCTATTGCTGTCTCCACATTCATATCCTGGGGAAACATTTGGTTAGCTCGCTTTAAGTAACGGTATATTCGGTTCTCATATTGATATTCCTTAGTAGTCTTTCTACTTTTGATTAATTTCTAAAGAAGAAACATTAAAATTCCTCGTCTCAATTTTATCGTTCAAGAAAAATATGGATTTAAGATGTTCATGTATCCTCACCTCCATTCCATCGTAAAGAGAAGGGTCCTTCAGTTTAGTGTACCGGATGGCGTTCCAAATCTCCTGGACATTAGTCTCCACTCCCCTTTCTTTAGTGTCTAGCAATATCTTGCAAACCTGAAGTATTGGTTCATTGTTATAATGTTGTTAGCTAAAATATTTTCTCTTAATTATGTGTATTTGAACACACCCTGTACTAGCGTTTAGCAGATCAGCTTGAGATAGCAGACCATCAGCCTCACTCGAAAACAGCTCATACTTTATTATTCGCTAGATCATCGCAAATGCTCGAGGTACTCGCCGATTGTGAAATGAAATTTTCAGTCATGACTGCCCTTTGATTATGCCTTTCATGGATTTATAGTCTCCAGTTGTACAGCTTCTAAAAGCCTTTTGTTTTGGTGTAACCAAATGCGAGCACTGGTTATCACGTGAGACAATGTAAAATCTGACAATGTGCGTCTGTTGGGTTGGCTTGTGTCACGAGACCAGAATACAGGGTGATTGTTTAGTTTGTGTCACGTGACTAGGATAAACCGCTGTGATTGGCTAATTTGTGTCACGTGACTAGAATACAGCGCTATGATTAGTAACCCTGGCATTATAGCTCTCTTACCCTTTTTCTACGAGCAGGCCCATACTATGGGGAACAGTAATTTAGGTGGGATCATTAAAAATACTGTGGAAGAATTGAAATATGAGGATTTCTAGTCATGTGGCTATAATAAGCCTCTCCAATTGGTTAGTGTCAGAAGACTAGAATAAAGCCCTCGACTGGAATATTTCTTGTTACATGACCAAAAGAAATTCATATGGTTGGTTGGGGTGTATCAGGTGACTGCAATGAAGCTCTCTCATTGGCAGGTTAATTCACCTTGACGAGTAGCTCCCTCTGTTTCTCCTCCACAGCCTTCCTCTCGGCTAGAGAGAGTCCTGCAGAGCTATTAGCGTGATCTATTGCTGAGATGATGGCTCTGATGTTGATCTCATTTCCCCGCTCTTTCTTGTCCAGGAAGAAGTCGCACACCTGATAGGGAGGTGGTGTCACGTGACTTGGTTAAACATTAAGAAATAATTCATATCATATCTTCATTCAAGGCTAAATGTTTTCCCCCTAAAACTAAACTTTTACATAGACTCTTACATAGACAACAATCCTATAAAAAATTATAATGACCATTTCAAACCTTGACTATGGTGTTTTTCTTTCCGTTATGTCCAGAGTCCTTTAGTCCTAGACCAGCTAGTGCTCTGTCGTGGAGCTCCTTCTCAGATAGCACGGAGTCCGTGTCACTCTGAGGAGACGCCGGTTGTGTGTTCTGTAGGTACTCTGGGAGATACGTTAGTTAGCAATTAGTTAGTAATTAGTAAGTAATTAGTTAGTAATTAGTTAGCATTTAGTCATTGATTAGTAAGTAGTGAGTAATTAGTAATTAGTGAATAATTAGTAAGTATTTGTAATCACCAGAGTGTATTCAGACAATGAATTATTTTATTTCTGATTTACTTTACTTGGGGACTGACCGAGCAGTAATCAGTTCTAAATACTTAAACGATTTGCAACTAAATGCTAAAACTTACCCGATATTTCAGCCATTTTCCGGGAACAGCCTTGCTCGTGCTCCTCAAGAAAGAAGTTGCAAACCCTGGCCAGTAACTGACGCCTTCTTCGATCTGAGGGGAACAATCGTGTTAACTTCATCGTACGCTTTTTAATTGAAAAAGTAATAAAATATAAATTGTTGTCCAGATTCGTGAAGTCTGTACTACTGACTATGCAATGATGGAAATCTTTGCGTCGGATTTGCAAACAATTTATTGATTTTTAAATATGATGCAGCGCCTGCAATTAATTTATAAACGGTGTATTTCTGCTCCAGTTTGTGTTTCAGCACCATTTTTGGATTCTTTTATCCACATTTACTTTTTGGGTCAAGAGTTATTTCTTAAAACCATCAGTACTTAGAAGTCATCATTTATTTTGTGACAGAATCGACATTTTGATAGAAGATCACCGAAAATGGTTATTTTCATATTCAAGAAGCTCCAAACTAAAAGCATGGCTAAAAGCACTGGTCAGTAACCGCCCTCATGACGTGCAAGATATAGTGACCTTAAAACTGGGCGTGCAGTTTAGTACATTATTTGTAAGCAAGGAGTTCACTTTTGTTTGTTGCTGGAAACATGAGGTTTGTGATGAAGTTGAATCCAGATAATAGGAGGAAAATACAAATTCATCCATGTCCATATTTGTGGCACATTTGAAGAATGGGATGAGGACCATTAATGAGGGGGTCAAAGGGATTGCACATATCTTACACGTGATCATTGTCTAGACTACAGGTTAATCTGTGAGCATGACCTCATCGAAGAATTGAGCCGAGGTGCTCACTTAATCTCATATCGAGTTAAATATCGAGTCAAAGTTTTAAAAGTTAAAGTGGAGAGGATAAAATATATTATTATAAAACACAAGATATGATTTATAAGTACAGCATACTACCAGTTACCACCCTGTACCTTGAACTTGAGATCGGAAATTCGTTTAGAGAATGATGCTAGAAAGGTGTGGGTGCACTATTTAAAGGCTGCAAGATAAGCAATCAAATTTGAACGAGTGGGGTTTTAATTTAATGCAGGTCTCGTAGAAGTGGGTCTGATTGCCTGGTTCCATTTCATAGCAGAGCTGCACTGAGAGGCCGAGGTGAATTAATCATGCGATTCATCATTCATCTCAGATTCACTGATTTGATTGCCTTTGAGCACCTAATCAAATGTTTAGTGTGACATTTTATACCAGGTGCGCAGTACCAAGCCGGGCAGGTCACGTAATTTTCAACCTTAGAATATCTTAAATTTAATATTAGAAATCACTCCGAATTCGATGGAACCCAAACATCCGAATTGTCCTTAACTTGAACCGTTCGCTAGTTATAATGTTTACGTGAAGCAAAGTTAGAGAATCTAGAATTTCGCAAAGCCGCAAAGTTTGTTGAACCTCCGGTCAGAGACTCTGATCTAAGTTTGTAAAAATGTCATTCCATACCACTTAAATACTTCTGTCTCCCCTCCCCTCCCCAACAACCCCACATATGATTTACACAAGTTTGTGTACCTGTTTCCATGTGGATGCCTGATGATGTAAGTGTAACAACTGCTTCTGTCGGACTCATATCCATTTGATATATCATCAGCGCCTCGCTGTTAATTCTCAATTTAGTCGAATTCAAGTCAAACGAAATTAATTACACCGCGATGCAAAGAATATGCGACAATTCATACAAGTGAATAAACAGTTACACAAACAGGAACTGACGAAGATTAAGGAAAGTCAGAACACGAAATCTCCAGACTCTGGAGCTCGAATAAGAAAATTCGGACCACGTCAGGCTTTTAGATAGGAATTGGACATTACACATATAACAGCCACACGTGACTAGAATACAGCTCTTTGATTGGTCGGCTTGTTTCACGAAACAAGTATACCCTATACAGCTCTCTGATGGTTGATGTTCAGAGAGAATCAGCAGCCGAAAATTAGTATCTTTTCTTGAGAATGCCCAATTAATTTTCTACAGTTTTTAGGAATCTGGAATACGCATGCACACACGCCTAACATGCAACAGTAGGCGTCGTTGTGACCTGAAGAAACTCATAAGCTGAACTAGATAAAAAATCTAATAATTATTTTTAGGTTCATAATATAACTACTATATATAATATACTAACAATTACTTATATAAACTACAGCCCTCTGTCTCAAATGTCTTCTTTTCGAGATAATCTGACAAGGAAATTATACTGATCTCAAAGCCGAGTAACTAAATTGTCAACTTGTAAAAATTATGCTTATCTTATGGTGGATTGTAAACATTTAAAAAAAATTAATTGATATGAGGCTCGAGGGAGCGTCATTAAACTGAATTTTAAGAAATGGTGGCTATAGTCGAAGTTATTAAACTGCTGAGGAAGAAGTGTTAAACGCTGTTTCAGTATCTCCCATCTAAGTTATTCAAATATCTAAAATTTACTGACTTCCTCTGACGAGGAGCAACATAAACTGACCAGCAACTCAGTATTTAGAGCTGATTTGGGATGATCACGTCCTTTAATATAATGGATGAACTGGCTTGCATGGGGTGGTGATCATTACCTATTAAGGCAGTACCAACTTTAATTTATTTCGAGCATCTGTGGTTTTCACACTAAACAGTAAAACTCTGATTTACCGCGCCCCGATTTACTGCAAACCCTGATTTATAAATCCGCGGTATACCGCGGATAATTCCTTTCAAATTTTTCTTCAAAATGTAAATGAACGTTCCATATATACGACCAATACAAAATTGACATCAATCATCATAACATATGACTTTATAAAAAGACCAAAAAAGCCAGGATACCGCTTTAGTGGACTTTGTTTGCTGGATGGGAAATCATTCCAATATGATAATATTGATTAACCTTTAACCTTACTCATGGTATCAGATTGATTAATTAATAATTATCACTTATATAATTGACATTTAAAAAGGGCATTTACTTTATACTTATAGAGGGGAACATATGGAGCGAGAAGCGAGCATAAATTAACAACAAATAATTCCAACCGTACACAGTTCGAATAACACCACAATGCCAGACATGAAATGGTAAAATTATATAATCTACTCTCTCAAAATAAACTTTTCTGGAACCATGAGTAATACCAAGCAGAGCAATGACAAGACAGAAAGCTGTCCCCACTTTCATTCAATATATTACCATATCAATAAATCGTTATACGTCGCGATATCAGCTCAGGGTTTTCGACGTATTACATGAAATGAGACACACTTCAACATACTCACGGTGACTGATTGTCTATCAGAAATCCCATCATATTGATTCGTTCCTCATTAAAAAATGGGTTTCCTAATAGGTTTATAACCGCAGTGCTGTGGATATGATTTAAGCTGTCACAAATTTATACGAAAATTGCGAAATGAGAAGCCTAGAATTCGGAGAATTTGTATTTATGATCGTAGCCTTGCTATGAGTATGTGGTAAAATTACAAGAAGGGGCTATGTTGTTAGATGGTTTACATAAAAATAGGGAAATATTAGACATGTCCTAGGCTGATTGGTTGGATGCTAGAATTTTTGCAATCGCAAATTTTGATCCACAAACGTTGGGACCTCGCCCCTACAGAATTGTGGATCAATTATGTTTTGCTGCTTGTAGCTGCAGGAAATAAACCATCAAACCAGCTAATTTATAACGTATCCAGTGACTTTTAAATTTGTTGTTCATTAATCTAGATATTTATATTACTTTCAACCAACAACAATATGGTTTATCACAATGTAACCGGTCCGCTACGATGGACGATGATTCCTCAATCGTCCACGTAGCATCTGGTCAGCCCAGATGCTACGTGTGCTCTTGAGGTGGATTACAAGAAAAAGGCTCAGTGTCCACGTGCCACCTAATAAAGCCTAATAATTGACGAAATCTAAGTTAGTTATTATTATTATTATTTAAAATACAAGCTTCTATTCACGGGATAGCCAGTTACCTGGCAACGCCCGCTGCACGAGGGGCCCATCACAGCCACCAACAATTAATTTGTTTCCAATACCTAGGCCGTGTACCATTTTGTGTTAAGCAACACCATGGTTTGGTGACCGGTCGTTCCTTTTTGGTTATAATATGTTGAGAACTGCCCCCTGACGGGGATCGAACTCGCAACCTAATTATTAGGTTAATTAAAAATTTAATTGTACTAAAGACTTATAGTTTTGAACTTCTCTTCTAAAAGTAACAGTCATGTGTGAGCAGCATTGATCTTGTTTTTTTGAGAATGGAGAGAATAATATTGTTGAATCTTGACCGATTCTCCGGATTATTAATTAAATGTATAGTAAGATAGTATAAGTTCCTGTTAAACTAATTTACTAAACCCTTCATAGAATTAGCTAGAAGGTCCTTGTGAACTATTGAGTGTAGCTGTACAAATATAGAGATATAATAATTATATAAAGATATGGAAGATGAACAAGTCTGATTAATGTTATCCATGCTGTACCAACCATAAAGATCAATCAACATTCAACATATAATGTTTTTCAAGCAGCTGCAGCTGCTAAAACACCTCCATCAATCAGTTGAGGCCGTAAATTCTTTGCTAAATATTTGCACTGTACCAGACAACTAGTGCATCTCTCAAGATAAAGATGTTTCTTCAATGTATGTGAACCGCAACGTCACAAGCCTTTTATTCTTTATCTAATAGCTCTTAGAGAAAAGATATATTCATAGGCGAGAGCTGCCTATATTGATAAAAATCAATAAAATAATTCTAAAGGGAGCTATATGACAATAGGGAGGCGTTATTGTATATATTTTATAGGCAACTGATGAAAGGTATTTTCGAACAATAATTCATTGATCAGTGATCAGTGATGGCTGGGGGACATGTTAATGTTGTGATATTAATTATTAAACATAACAAGCGTTTAATGTCTAAATAATAAATTATGTATAACTCTGAACACGTAGTTTCTGTACAATAAAGCTTTGTAAGTTTGGGATAAATAAATAATGAAACAATAAAGTTTAGTCATATTGAGAAAAGTCGCTTTCTTTACAATGATCTAGGGGGAAGCCGGTGTTTTTATCTAGGGAGTGTTAG